TCTGGGCTTTCCCAAACAGTTTGAAGGCATCTTAGTGGATGTAAACTTCTGACTTTGAAGAAAATAGTAAAAAACATTCTCTCTCTCATTATTCTGGCGTTTAGCAAATAGAAGTAATGTTGGTGATCCTGACTGACCTAAAACAGGAAAAATTTAGTCTGATTTAATATCAGATAGTGAGGAGAAAAAAAAAGGTTTTATAGGTACTATTGCTGCCTATTAAAAATATGAACACTAAGGATGGTTCTAGCTGTGATTTCTTGACATCTGCAGGCAAAAAGACATTAAATACTCTAAATGGCTCCAGTGTGTATTTATGCTTAAGCGCCAGATGTAATATAATTCAAATAAAAAGAGTGAAAACCTGACATCTACGCTTTCCTCTCTTTCGTCTCCAGTCCAACCGGCTCACGGCAGCGCTGCAGCGGCCGCCGCCCAGCAGGGAGGCTACGAGATCCCAGCTCGCCTGAGGACCCTCCACAACCTGGTGATCCAGTACGCCTCCCAGGGCAGGTACGAGGTGGCCGTGCCCCTCTGCAAGCAGGCCCTGGAGGACCTGGAGAAGACGTCTGGGCACGACCACCCAGACGTGGCCACCATGCTCAACATCCTCGCCCTGGTTTACAGGTAATAAAAGCCTATAGCATTATTTATTCATGTGCCAGTATGGTTTCCATGGAGATGTAATGATTTTCTGTTTGGAGCGGATGAGTTATGTTGGTAGCTCCTGGCTTTAGGTTAGTCCATTATGTAAAATATAATGGTCCTGATGCATTTTTCATAATCGAGTCTCATATTTAATTAAAATATTTGCTGAATATATTTGCACTCTGCGCCGGCTCATTAATCCTCAAAGCTGCTGTGACTATTTTACCTTCCCAGGAATTCAGAAGCGTGCTAATAAATCCTTTTTTATCAGTGTTTGGTAGATGTGGAATGTTTTTAACCTTCAAGTAAGGTTTAACAATGGTTTTTTTTTTTCTTTTTCTCAAGAGAGACACGTGATGATCACAGTGCATTTTGTCTTTTTGTCGCCCTCACAACCCTGTGGCACGTCCCCCCCTCGAGACCTTTTGGCGCTCGCGGCGTCGTGTGACCGGCCTCCAAATGAGGAGCGTCTGGAGAAGCCAAACATAGACCAACGCGAGATTTACAGTAGAGCCCCAGAACTGGGCGAGCGTCAACTTCTCAGCCCAAGTAGACGAGAACAAAAGAACGGCACACAAGAGCGGGACAAGTATTTTAAAGGATTGTCGCCGGGTTTTTTTTAGCCTACACAAATCTCAGAAGTTGAATAGTCAGCTCGGGCGTTTGATTTGCTCGCCCCCGAACGAATGATGGTCTGTGTCGGCTTGTCGTCGGCGGACTGGTGCGTTGATGGTGGGAACGACTTTAACCGCTGAAAATAATGAGCCGTTAGTGGAGGTTGCTGGCGTCGTTTCCCCGCCTTTGTGTGCTCGTGTGTCATCCTGTGCATCTGTGTGTGTTTGCTTCTGTCTGACTCAGGGATCAGAACAAATACAAGGAGGCGGCCAACCTGCTGAATGATGCTCTGGCCATCAGGGAGAAGACTCTCGGTCGGGACCATCCAGCTGTGAGTACATCTGTCTCTGCTTTGCATCAAAGCCGTTCTGATCCGGCAGCATTTAGCTGCAACACCAGAAAACAAGAAACCGCTCAGTATCACGTTATTACTTACGCTTTTCACACGATGGCTAATTATTTTTACACTATTACAAGATAGAAACAAGGGCTGAAAAAATTGAGGAAAGTAATTGTAATTTGTGTGATTTATAGTCGAGCTTTAGTTCAGTGTTTACAGTGTAATAGATTAAAAAAACACAAGATACTATCAACATATCAACTGCTCTGTATTCTACTGCAAAGACAAAACTGTTGAAGATATAAATGTCTATTTATTGCATTTTTAAAACTGCACTGAGCATAAAACAGTTGAGGGGTTCAGAGCCAAAGTGGGACCAAACCACAAAAAATCCAAAGTTGCGTTTTATGTGTTTATGGTCTACAAGTTCATGGCAAAGTGGTCCAACCAACAACCCACCAGTAAGGTCACAATGAGACTTTGAAGTTTGGCCCACAATGGTTTTGGCGTGAAAATTTAATGGCAAACTGGACCAAGCCACTGGAATCGCTGAGCGTTATATCGCAGGTAGTTGCAACGTGTTTGCGATTCAAGATGGCGGACTGTCGAAGCCAATAATGTAAGAACGGCCGATGACGTAATAAATTTACACTTTTCAAAATGTAACAGGCAAATAACGTAATACCTGACCAATAACATAATAAAAGTCCTGAACTGGTAACGTAATATCTTTTGGCCAATAAGTTATTATGCTATTGGCCTGGTGTAAAAAAAAAAAAAAGAAAGCAAATGTTGGAACCAAAACAAATGTAATATAAAATGTAATGGCCAAAAGTTTTTACGTTATTGGTTCAGGACACGGACAGCGCGACCTCAAACTTCGTGAAATCTCAACTCGTGGGTAAAATAAAAACTCAGTTAACCACCATCAAGCATCTGTTTCTACCCCACGGTCCTCAGAAGTTCCTCTGGTTCCTGATGATGTGAACTCTTCAGTGCTGTTCAGTCAGACAAACCTTGAGCCAGTTTTTTTTCTCAAAAAGTAGAAAATGTGGTACGACCCGCTTTGGCACTCAGCAAAAGGAAAAGGCAGAATTAAACCTTAAATAAGTCTTCACAAAGCAGCTGTTTCTATCTCTGGACAGTGTTGGAACATCTCTGGATGCATATAATGACTCCAACAACAACCAGGATTTATGTTTTTTTTTTTTTTTGGCAACGCAACAACTAGTAAATGTGGTTTGGCCCACTTTGACCCCCTCAAATGTTGTGACTGTGTTAAATAAATGGTCTGAATAATAAAAAAAACTCTAATAATTCATGTGTGGCAGGGCAAAGTTTATACGTATCGTGCATTTCAACAACAAATTTCTTTATGTAGGACACGAAAAGACAAAGTGTAGAAGGAGAATAACGCATAATAAAAATATATATCAACGCAATTAAATCACATAACAACAGGGAAGTAAGAACAAGTTTTGAAATGGGAAGCTCGTGGCTTAGCTGCAGCATCTGTGCATTCTGTCATCAACTTAAGTAATAGTTATAAGTAATAATTAAAAGCCTGCATAATGTATATGCACAGCTGAGTGTGCTGTTTTTTAATGCATGTATTTAAAATCAATTAAATGTTCAACCCTATTACAAACTTGTCCTGTAATACCAGTTGACTGTTCTCTTAAAACAATATATTATTTATGCTCTTATGTAGTAAAACGCGCTGAGAACGGATAAATTGAGGAATCATTTGCTTGACTTAATTCCTCCTGCGACATAACGAGCCGTTATCGATCAGATGGACAATGCTGTGATCGGTCAGGAGCCTTCAGAGCCTCCAGCTGATCAATGAGAAGCCTCCAGATGTTCCCAGCCGCCACATGCGTCTCAAAACCTTTGTGTTCGCGAACTAATGGCAGCGTCATCCGTCATCATTATTAACGGCAGGATCTCGCCAACGTTTCAACTCGAGCACGAAGTAATCGAATCATGTAAATGAGCCGTTTTCCTCCGTTTATCAGCGCAGCGGTCGCTCAGTCAGACTTAAATTATAACCCGAAAAGTTTCACGCTACGACGTGACGCTGATCCGTCTGCAGCTTTTCTTTTTTAGCTTTAGGCAGTTGGACAATATTCTCTGTGACGTCGGTGTACTTGGATTGATCTAAATCAGAGATGTCTTATCCTTTTTCAAAGCTTTATTTCTTTCTGAGGATAGACTGTCCTCGCAGTGTGATGCAGGACAACAGAGCGAATTGAGTGTTTTTTTTTCACAAACAGCACCGTAGTAATGGTCTAACGCTTTATATGGTGTGTTGTTTTCTGTCACCACACTCATATCTGCACTGTTAATATGAAAATTAGCGTAGCTTAGCATAAAAACTCTGACTAGCAGCACAAAGTATAAAAACGGCAAGTTTGACAAAACGACCAGAGCTAACCTAATTTTGCTCTTTTCGCAAAGAGCCGAGCTGTTAATCACATATTTACAGCGAGGTCAGCTGTTCAGTTTTACTTCATGTCCAGAGCGTTATCGATCCTCTCATCTCACTCTCTTCAAGAAAGTAAATAAAAATGACTCACAAATTGTTGAAGACTTCCCTTATTATAAAGCATAAAGCAACTGTGGCTTCCTGACTGTCTTTGTTAAACACTTTAATGCAATCGAGGCCCGATAATGGAAAAAGCAATAAGAGTTGTTTACCTTGTTAGCGACTGAGCGCTGATTTTTTTGTTTCCGTGCCGTCATTACCGCCTGCTCTCTGCTTCATGGCTGCTTCGGGCCGCCACAGTGTCCCGTTTGCCCCTCAGGAATCGATAAAATTCATTTAAAGATATTTTCCCAGCCGCCCCTCAGGTAGCACATATAATAACACAGACAGCAATAATAACGGTGACATTTATCGTTATTAAAGAGCCCATGAAATAGGAAGTTAGTTTTGGAGTTTCTGTGCTCCAAGTTTTGCACTCTTGTGGTTCAACTCGGTGCATGTGGGCATCCTTTGTGAGAGAAATTTACAAGGTTGAAGCAGAATTAAAACATTTCAGGACTGCAGTGAGGCGATTTAAGATAAAATGCTTGCTAATAATGTTAACTTTATAATATAAAGACATCAGACAACAGGCTGGTTGTCTCTGTTTCTGCACAAGTCGACACAATATTCTACAAAACCAGACAAAGTATACATAAACTGTAGCAAAATAAAATAAAAAATCCCTTAAAAAACTGTAAAAATCTGGCAGCAAGTGTGCCTGAAAAATACTTAAAAAAATGCCGGAATAGTATGATATTTAATATTGTAAAAATGTTAAAAATAATTCTATTTTTATCTGATTTAAATGCTATAAACAGTGTAATTTTATGGCCACAGATGCATTATAAAAGAACAAATTACTATTTGTAAGAATACATATGTGGACATTATGTACAGTTTTGGCCTTTTTAAAAAAAATAAAAAAATAAAAATTAAGAGTCAATATGTAAATTAGGAACATTTTCTTTGTTTTAATAGTTATCTGTAATTTCGCCAAATTGGAAAAATCTGGTTCTTTTTCAGTCCTTAATATACCAAAGTTTTCTTGCAAATATCGCTAAAATAATTAAGAATTTATAATAATTCGCTAAAATAATTATATTTTTGCTGACTTAAATATGAATTTTTTTAAAAAAAGGTGCAATTATACAGTCTGACGCTGTAAAAGAAAAAAAACACCATATATAAAAATACATATTTTACATGTGCTTATTGACAGTTTTGCCTCGTTTATTTACATGTAAAATAAAAAGTTTATTTCTCTGATTTTACTTGTTATTATCTGTAATTTATAAAACAAGGAAACCCAGAAAAATAGCAGTTACTTCTCTATACCTGTTTTTTTTTGTGGAAATAATGTCAAATATCTGTACAATAATGATGTTTACTGATTTAAGTCCAGTAAAAAAAAAAAAAAAGTAATTTTACAGTCTAGCTTGTAAAAGAACTGATTTGTAAAAATGCAGGTTTTTGATGCAGTTTTGTTTCTTTATGTGTAAATTAATAGTTTATTCTGTGATTTTACTAGTTGTTGTTCTGTGTGATTTGACAAAACAGGGGAAGTCTGTGAAATAATGGTAAATAGTCTAAAAAAAAAAATACACTTAAGAATTGTACAGCGTGTCCTTTAAACGTTTAATTACACCTCCTGGTCCAGAGCTGTGATGAGCAGCATGGACTTCCTGAATAACCGACTCTGATCCGTCCACTAACTGTGTTGACCTCAGCAGGCCTCCGCTGTCTGGACATCCATCACCCTCACTGTGTGAAGCCGAGGTCAGCCCTCCTCCATCCTCCATCCTCCGTCCTTGTTTCATCCACAAACAAGTGATTTTATTCAGAATAAATCCCAATTTATATGATATATATCGTCTGAAACTGATTCACAGTCTGCTGATTTCCTTTCCATACTTTTATCTTCTTCTCCGTGATCTTAATGTTCAGCATTGGTTCACGAAATTGGAATGATGCTGGGATTAGTTTATTTATAAATCAGATGCACAGACAGACGTATGCTGTGGTTCAGAGGTCTGGATTGGTTCCAGTTAGGCTGCTGCAGGATAAAGTTTGGGTCTTGAGTCCTGGTATTGAATACTGGCTCCTGGATTTGGACCAACACCCTGGACTGCAGTCGCTGCTCAGATTAGAGGGAACATCACGACTTGTTACCAAAAAACTCTGGTTGCTTTCCAGACATTTTGATATTTTTGCCCACAGAAACTAGCACACTGTTTAATGTACGGCTTTGGTATAATATTGCGCTTTAAACCTTGATTTGTTTCTGTAGCACGAGTTGAATTGTCAACCATCTGCGTGCTGTCGGTGGCTCTTGTACTGCAATTCAGCGGTTTCAAGGACTCTTTATTGTCACATCAGGACACGTTTACACATGAAAGAAGTGCTCAGGTAGAGCCGGTAGAAATAAATAGAGAGAAATAAGGGAAAAAATGTATAAATATGAAGAAAAAATAGGGGAAATTATCAGCGATGAACAGATAAATAAATAGGTATGCGTGCAAAATGCAGTCGACCTGCTTTTGAGTTAAGATGCTTGTGCGATAAAGTCACAAAAACATGCCGGTATAAACGCTGAAATCAGATGCAGTCAAACATCCAGGTGTTTCTGTCGTACCATCGTTGACGCAGTCGTGTGATTGTCAGGCGGAATGAAACGGAATAAATCAGCGTGAAACTTCCGTAGTCTGAGCCCGGCATTAAACATAAAAAACAACCCGCCTTCCTAATGGAAACTCCTGGAAGCCCCAGCTGTGTGTTTGTGACTCCGTGTGAACATAAAGAGTGAACGCGCCGAGGTTTATACGAACCATTTAACATCGCATTTCTGTGAGCTGTCTAACCCAGCTGTGCAGCGACGCCGATTTTTAAGAGCATCGCTGCAGCTCGGAGTGTCCTGAAGCCACTTTTCAGCCCTCTTGGTAGCATCCGTTGGGCATTTATTTCAGGCTGACAAAACCAGGCTCTCATCTGAAGCCATAACTGCAAATTTAATGGTCACCAGGATCTAAAAGCGGATGAATATCATAAAAAAATTTACAACAAAATGAGAATGTTTGGCAGCTAATGTGCTCCGTTCACCAGACAGCTACAGGAGCAGGATCGGGTTTGTTTAACCGTGTTTAGGAGTTGATGTTATGAGTCACATGCTGAGCGTCTTTTGAAATCTACGAATTTAATCTCGCTGTGACTTTGAAGGATGAGCAGCTCCAGTGTGATGCTGGTAGAAGCTAATTTGATGCTGGGAAGACGCTCATAACTGCAGTATCAGTAATCACTGGGACATAAAAGCAGCAGATATAGAACCACCACTGAAATCTGATTTAAAAATGCTGAAAAGGTTTGGCCCAAAATAAGCTTTAAAAAATGTCTGACTGAGGCTGGTGTTCTGCTTTCACCGAGCGACACATCCAGACAGTCACAGGATCAGGTTTGTTTCACCGTGTTGAGGAATTGATGTTATTAATTACACATTTTGTAATCTACAGAGAAGGAAAGGAGGTACGTGAGACTCATCACCGGGAAATAAAAAGCTGCATGTTTAGAAGTTCAAGTCTGGGAAAAAAAGGCTTAAAAAGTTTGGTGATTTTGCACCAAAGTAAGATTTTAAAAGTGTTTTTTTCCCCATTTTAACTATGCTTCTGCACACAGTGTCGCACCCACGTGATTGGTTTGATGCTTCCTGGTTTGGCTGTTATAAAGCAGCTGATTGGCTGTCTGGCTGGTGAGACGTGTTGAGGATTCTTTAAGCTGTTAGTGTCTTTGTCAGTCAGCAAATACAGATCAGATGTAGGCTGGGAGCCAGGGTTGTTTAACCATGTTGAGGAATTAATGCTGGCTGTGACTTTTGTAATCTCTGAATACGGACAAGGAGGTGTGCATCAACTCTGCAGCCATCTCCGTGACGCCCCTGTAGGTGGCAGAATCAAAACTGCAGGTTCACATTTACTGGGACATAAAACCTGCATACGCCAAAATAAGGTTTCTAAAAGGGTTTTTATGCAGGAGGTCACAACACTATGCTCTCATCAGTGTGACATGTGTGATGTTGCCTGCTTGGACTATTATAAAGCAGCTGATTGGCTGTTTTGGGGGGAGATGAGACGCATCATACGATGCCAAGCTGCCATCTTTGGCATTAGGAAACTCTCCCATAGATTTCTATTCAAGATGCATTCTGTGTTAGTTGCTGATGTTGCAGCCAGTTATGCATCCAGGCTTGTTTAACCATGTTGAGGAATTACTGTTGTGACACACACACTGAGCGTCTGCTGTAATCTGTGAGTAAGAAAAGGTTTGCATCCGATTTTTAACAGCGTAAATGTGGACTCAGTACAGTCACAGGCAACAAAGCGACCATTTCTGTTCACAGAAAGTTTTAGGATGAAAACTGATCGACTTTGATTATTCTTATCTGCACATGTCCGTCTTGGACACATGAAAAACACGAGCGCTATCTTCTCCGTGTTCGTATATTTGAGGCTGTGAAGAATAATCTTCACCTTTCAAAGTGATTATTTTGGAGCTTGTGAAGGAAAAGCTCTGCCTCCTTCCTCTCTCCTCCCTCCATCGCCGCTCTCCTCCTGAATAATCTCCCCCCTTCCCTCCCGTCCCCTCACCCCTCTGCCCTTCCTCCCACTCTGTCCACATGGCCGCCAGACGCTCCGGTGTGATTCAGAGATCAGAGCTGACCTGCGGGCGCCTCCTCGCCGAGATTCATCGTTCAGCTGATTCGGATCAAATTTCACAGCCCGCCACAATCACTTCCTGTTTCCTCCGTTTTTTTTTAATGACTCACTCACCGGATCAACGAGCTGCTGCTGCTGGCGTCCTGCGGTTTCACCCGCCGCACACATGGCTGAAGATGACGGAGTAAAACGGTGTAGGATAACGAACGTGTGCTTGTGTCTCCGTCAGGTGGCTGCCACCCTCAACAACTTGGCCGTCCTGTATGGGAAGAGAGGGAAGTACAAGGAGGCAGAGCCGCTGTGCAAGAGAGCGCTGGAGATCAGAGAAAAGGTGGGTCAGAGGTCATCAAACAACGCTTAGAGTTGAATCGAAAAGAAAGTAAAGGTGCAAAGGTGCACAAACATCACAGTCTCATGTGTTTTCAGTACAGCAAGACAAGAAATACAAAACATTAAACCGTCTCCTTTTTGACATTAGCTGGGATTCATAGAATGTTTTTGTCTAATGATGCAACTAACAACTACTTCCATCGTTAATCAATCTGTCCAGCACATTGTTTGGGCTTTAAAATGTCAAAAAAAAAAAAAAAAGATGAAATACGTGTTTCCAAAACCCCAAGAAGACAAAAGAAACCAGAAAATATTCACATTTAAGAATGAAGAATTCACTTTTTCTTTTTTTACTTAAAATGGCTCAAACCAGGACTGTAAGGTGGCTCGGTGGTTAGCACCGTCGCCTCGCAGCTAGAAGGTCGCCGGTTCCCGTCCCGGTGAGGACACCCGGGATCTTCCTGCATGGAGTCTCCATGTTCTCTCCGTGCAGCATGGGTTCTCTCCGGGTTCTCCGGCTTCCTCCCACAGTCCAGAAGCATGTTGAGGTTAATTGGTGATTCTAAATTGTCTGTAGGTGTGAATGTGAGTGTGCTTGGTTGTCTGTCTCTAAGTGTAGCCCTGTGATAGACTGGTGACCTGTCCAGGTGAACCTGAGTCAGCTGAGATAGACTCCAGCCCCCCATGACCCTAGTGAGGATTAAGTGGTGGATAGATAATGGATGGATGGCTCAAAGCACTCGTTCAATTATCAAAATAGTTGACAATTAAATTACGTTGACAACTATCCAATCAGTCGTAGTTGCTCTAGTTCTTTAGGGCTGATGATGATTATTTTTTTAGCAAAAAAGATTTTGAAGGATATTTGGAATCGATATGTATATGTTGCAAAAAATTTTAATCAGAACACGTTGAAATTATTATTTTTTTTTTTTACATTTTTAATTTTAATTAAAACTGAAATTTTCCATATTTATTCTTTAAACTGCCACTTCTTTTTTTTAAATTAAACTTTATGAAACTAAAATTTTACTGAACACTTTGTCTTTATTTTGAAAGTCTTGTCAGTAGAGCTGCAACGTATATAAATCAAAATAAATATTCTTTTAAATTGTTAGAAATTGTAACATTAAGCTCTATTTCGGTGCAGCATTCGGTGCTTAAACTGTCCTTGTATTCGCAGATTTCAGCCTCACACTCAGACATTTAAAACATATAATATCCATTAAAATGCAGCTTTTAGGAAATTAACTACTTGAATTGCGCTGAACTGAGAAATTGTAAAAGAACAACTGAGCAGCTGTTTAAAAGCTCCACAGATTTTTTTTTTTTTTTTAAACTCTTATCGGGCTTCAAACTTTCACTTTCAGTCTTAACTTGATTCTCAGACAGACTCTGTGTCCTACTTACACACAGGATACAGGATTTTTACTGAACATGTTCCCGTGAGTCACTGGTTTTAAAGAATGAAGAGCAGAAACTTCCTCCCACCAGAGAAATGACTCAGATAAGGAGAAATATTCAGACACCAGATTGTGATTGACCGTTGCTGAACCCGGTTCCGTTTTCCATCGCAGCACATTTTACTGCGATAACCGACAGATTTAATTCAAAGTAGATTATTTTGGTTTCAGAAGTTGAGAAAGATTTTTAAGTTGTGAGTCATTTTGTGGTTGACAGATGTGTTTTTTTGTGGGGCTGCAGCCAACAGTCGAGTCCGTTAGTGTCTCGAATAACTGATTAGTTGTTTGGCTAGAAAATGGTAAAAGAAAATATATGTTTTTCTCAAAGCCAAAAGTAATAAATGTCTTGTTTTGTCTGTTTACTGTCAAGGAGGAGAAAGAGAAACCAGAAGATGTTCACATTTATTAAGCTGGAATCAGAGAATTTAGACTTCAAACCAATTCATTAGTCATCAAAAGTAGTTGGCAATTAATTAAATACACATTTTTTAAAATCAAGAATTGGTTGAAAACTACAAACATACCGATAATCAGAAAAGTGCTGAATATCGGCTCCACTAATCGGGAGAATCAGTCACTGAGGCTTTAGCTAGTTGCTAAATGCTAATCCAGAAGCAATGTGAGTTGTCATGTTTAATGCTGTGCAGGAGTTTGTACGCTCCGATCTGCAGCCCTGTGGAGTCGTATCATCAGCTCACTGCATCCCCTGTGATGGAGTCTCACATTAAAGCATGCACACACACAGTTAAATCAGTTCTTCACCCTGCGGATAAAGGGGTGAAGGTATTGTGTATGTATTTTTAACTGTGTGTCACAAGATAAATGGGTTCTTTACACATATTTTAAGATTTCAGCTTGCATTGTTTTAATTCTGGCTTCGCTTTAAAGCTGTGCCTTCATATCCGGTTTGAGCGTCATTATTTAGCCTCCCCTCCTCATTTGATGCCTACAAAGGGGCTGCTCAGCAATCCTAAAAGTGCAGAAGACGCTCTCTGCTGCTGTCGGCCTTCAGTGCTCGCCTTTGAACAAAACCCTCCTCCGTCCTCGGGGAACGAAGGCGTCAGCTTCGCTTAAGCTGAGCGATTTCATTTCTTTATGCTACTTAAACTCCGACGATGATGCTCTCGCTTAAGCTGCAAAGACTTGGCTCTGAGTTTTCCTGCGCTGGCAGTGCAGCATGATGTGGCTGCAGCAGAGTTGCTGAATCAGAAGGATGCGCCTTCTTCATGCAGTTTTCATAGAAAGTGAGGGGAAACTCTGCTGCCAGCTGAGCTCAGGGAAACCGTGAATCTGTAAACTAGTGTCGAAGCTTTTTACCGCTCAGTTTGTTTATGTGAGAGGAGGTTAAAAATAGAAAAGCTCGTGTAAATATGCTGAAACCAGTGTGTTTGTACATTTCTGCCTCGGAGAGTTCAGGTTTTATTTCTCTGATGCTGATTTAAGACAATAACCTCAAGCAGCTTCTGGCTGTTTCTGGTTCTTGTCACATTTTTACTCACCGTGGGCTCATCTTTCACTCCAGTATAAAGTCCTAGTTGAATTTCTGTGTTTATTTTACAATAAACAAGGAAAAATTGGACACATACAACATATTTCAAAGTGTCCACAGATGTCGCCAGTACTTGCATCGTTACAACCTCTTCAGACTCATCATCAGTAGAAAGATGTTCCACCATCAGATGTAGAAAGATGTTCCACCATCAGATGTAGAAAGATGTTCCTCCATGCTGGATGTATCTCCACCAACTGGCTCCTCTGTTCACTGTTTCTGAGCCATGCTGCATTTTTTTATTGATTTTCCTCTCAGTGTCTCTTTATGGACACACTGCCTGCAGTTCTGCCAGAAAGTTGAATTTTCATCACGTGTCTGTTGGTCGCAGTTGAATCTGGCGTATTTTTTTTTTTTAGCACATTTTCTAAACGAGACGTGGAATAAAGTCTAAAGTTTGGTGATAAATCCTGATTTTAAGTTTAGATTTGGTTCATTTTCCCGACTGAGCTGCGCGTCGCACACGATAAATTCAAGGAGCATCAGAAAGTTGAAAATCGATTTTTTTGACAATTTTTTGTTTATTTGTTTTAAAGATAACATGCGTTTTAAATCCGCCGAGGTGTTTAAGTTAATAAATTATAAATATATTCTAGTATGAAAACTGTATGAAGAGTTCATTTGCAAAAACAGATAACTCCATCCTCACAAACCTTCAGAAAAAACACTTTTCCATCGTCTAGCTGAGACGTCAGTCAAACTTCAGTTGTCTCTATTTTTGTCATTTCTACTGAGTCAGATCCACTCAGCTTCAGTTTGATTGATATCATCTCAAGCAAACAACAAAAAAATATGTTTTCTGAAAATCTACAAAAATGGAGTTATCTGTTTTTGCAAATTCTTCGTATGTGTATCTCTGAATAAGTATCTGTTTTGTCTAGAATCACAACATTATCCCACTAAATGCTCCGTCAAAGAACAGTTATTGTAATATTTTTCATATTCATGAATAATTAATCTCTCACTAACGATTACAAATCATCTTATTCCATTATGGAGCCACAAGCGTTCTTTGGGTGGAAATACTCTTTTAGGACACAAAATGTTGATTAATTTACCACTGAAACTAACAAACTGTAGGAAATAAAAGCTGCAGCATAGTTTGGCTCTTCTTTACGACTGCCAAAGTGTTGTCATTGGATTTTTTTGGCAACAGAAAGAAATCTGTAATACCATCGGCCTCGTCCTTGTCAGATAAAGAGTGAAAAAGATAGATTTCAAGGTTAAACACAGACTCCAGAGTTGCTGTGTGTCCTTCAAGCTGTTTCCTTGTAGCCTTGTTAAACTAGTAGGAGTATGCGTGTCTAATAATGTAGAGAGTTTTCAGCACTACGCCAGTGTAAGGATCAGATTGTGTAGTGCAGCAGCCATTTTAACATCCCGTTCACATCCTGATTTGATCATATTCTGTGAATATTTTAGCCTAACAGTTGGTTCACTGCAGGTAGGAGATGCTTGTTGCTTAATTCTAGATGAAGGCACTTTTCCCTGAAAGCTTCCCAGGCTGCATCGATAAACGAGATGAATTCCTCGGCGGCCTGAACCGCGTGGCTTAGAGCAAATCCTTTTTTCCGGCTAACGATGTTTACGGGAAGCAGTCAGATGTGTTGGAGGCGTGGGCGGCCGGTCGTTGGATGCTGTCGCTGGATGCTGTCGCTGGATGCTGTCACTGGATGCTGCTGGTGGCTCCACGTCGTCCCGTGGATCACCAACAGGGAGGCCGGTGATCCTTCAGACCTCCCACAGACTTACAGTGCAGCAAACTGAACCCAAAAGGACCAACAACAACAACAACAACCAGCCTGCCGACACTCTTGTCACGCTGTATTTTCTTTTCGCTCCCCACGGCCTTTTCTCAGCGCTATCCTCTGACCTTTTCCTCTTTTAATCTTATTCCATCCTGACATGTTTATTTCGTTGCCCCTCTTTTTGTTGGTCAGTCAGACTCGGATCAAACCCCCGTCTCTAATAATCCTCCTGCATCTTTCACGCTTCCCACGCTCGCCTCTTAAGCCTCCTCTGCATGCAGGGAACGCTTACCTTCACCCTTGTAGCCGCATTAATGCAAACACATTCACGTTTAAGGATTTGTTTCTGTTTGCGCTCCTCTGGGCTCGGTGTGGCTCAGACGAGGATATCGTTTTCTGTGATAAATGCTGCTTTCTTGGTGCACTGATGTTTGTTTGCTTATCGTCGGGTCGGTAGTCCGTCATCCTGGCACTGAACCAGATCCTCAGGGAGATGCATGCTGTGTTTAGTTAAGAAAGCAGCACTACTGGTTTTTGCAGATTTACTTCCCGATATTGTGGCCTGAATTTATGGGAGTGAAGAATTCTGCTCTAGATCAGCAACACAAACTGTAGTGAATCAAAGCAGCCTGGAAAGAGATGAAACAAATGTATTCCTGGATGACCAAATGCTTTGTCAAAGAATATTTTTTCTAATATTTCTCCTATGAATTAATAATGAATCCCTCATTAACGTTTAGTGTTCTCCAGCTACAAGTCCAGAAACATGTTGAGGTTAATTGTTGATTCTAAATTGTCTGTAGGTGTGAATGTGAGTGTGCTTGGTTGTCTGTCTCTAAGTGTAGCCCTGTGATAGACTGGTGACCTGTCCAGGTGAACCTGCCTTCACCCTGAGTCAGCTGGGATAGACTCCAGCCCCCCGTGACCCTAGTGAGGATGAAGCGGTGGATAGATGATGGATGGATGGTTGTCGTCTCCTCACCAGCTGAATAGTCTAACGATTGTTGATCAATTTTTGCAAAATTTGTTGTGTGTTTTTTACGGGATCTTTAGCTTTGATTTATTTTATTTAAAGTTTTTGGCGTATTTATATAAAAAACGACAGAATAAGGTGATTTCCGTTAAATATTCTAATAATATGCTTCGATTTTTGTTCATTTTCCCGTCAGAACATCAAATCATACATGATTGGTTCGAGGAAATGTATTTTCTAAATTTTGTTTGGAGTATTTCAGACTAGATGTGACCATTCTTAGGATTTTAGCAACAAGATCGGCTCCACCAGAACTTGTTGGGAAGCTTGTGGTGATTTCTCACCCTAGACCAGAGCTGTCGACCAAATGCTGCATGCCAGACGCGGGCTAGTTGTCTAAAACTGTTGTCTTAACCCCTCGTCTCGCCCCGGCTTCTGTCCCAGGTGTTGGGTAAGGACCACCCAGATGTGGCCAAGCAGCTGAACAACCTGGCTCTGCTGTGCCAGAACCAGGGCAAGTACGAGGAGGTGGAGTACTACTACATGAGAGCGCTGGAGATCTACCAGACCAAACTGGGCCCCGACGACCCCAACGTGGCCAAGACCAAGAACAACCTGGTGAGAGGGACCGTGGGAATGATATCGAAGTGTAAAAACGTGCTTATTCTCACAGACGTCGCTGTGAATGATCATTAAGTTATGTTTTGCACTTGGAGGAAGGTTATTATAGTGAATAAACAATGCAGCAGTATGTCCAAATCCTCATGGAGTTAGGAGATGGCTGTTATACATGCAGCTAAAACGGAAAATCTAATTTATGTTAGTTATTACTTAAAGCGAAATATCTGTGATTTTATGTGGGTTTGAATTCCACTGTCCAAATAGGAGCCTGCAGACGAAAACCAGCCTCTAACAAGAACGTATCGCCCACAAAGTCTGCCTTTTAAAGTTTACTTTAACCTGCTTTTTCATAAATCTGCTGTAGATAGCAGGACTCACACAAATCCAATAAATATGAAGTTAAACCTTGTCCTTTTACCACACACAAAGAAGTCCAGTAAACAAGATTAATATAACCCACTTCACTTAAAATTAAATCTACTGTTGACAACAATGCCAGACTCACACAAATCCAATAAATGTAGTTTAATTTCTAATATCTAATATGGAGAGGTTTACAAACTGCTGAAAGAAGATCCAGCAAATAATAATAAATTCACTTATTTTAAATTGAACCAATAACTTGCACACTGGTTTAATTTTAGCCTGGTTGACAACAACAGTGCTTTTTTTAAAACTGTACATCAAGCATGCCATCGTTGATGTTAGATGTAGATAATAAGCAATTAGACTCATGCATATGAGATAGAGTTTCTTTAAACACTGGAGGGACGTTCTCTGGGTTTCCTCCCACAGGAAAAGCTTATTTTCCTGCATTCTGTTGATTTTTTTTGCACCGATTTGTCATTTTCTGCATCGATTTATTTCAGAAATGCCTCCACTTATGTGAATAAAAACACAAAATTGAAGCAGAATGGCATTTTTGCTAAATCAAACTCCTTTGCTCTTTTCTTGTTTTTTAAATTTTATTTTAGAGAACAAATTCAGTTCTAAATATTCTGTAGTCCTGTAAATCTACGCTGAGGCTCACACGACAAATTTTTTTGCCACATGATTAATTAACGTGTTGTTTCTGTGGGAAAAATTACAGGCGCATTTGAATAATTTTACTTGGGGGCTGCAAGATCACTGGAATATTAATCACGAATTTGACTCCCAGAAATAAAAAAAAAAAAAGACATTTGAAATGCTCCACTCATAGAAAACAGCTCATGTAGATAAATTCACTTGGTTTTGATTTGAGACGAGAAGCTTCTTTGTGCGTGACTGACTAGCTAGCATCTACTGTAGCCTGCGTGTGAGGCGTTTAGGGAACATTTAAAGTGAACGCCCTGAAATGTGACAGTCATGATATCGCTCTCATTTGGCTCCTAATTTTATCTAAAAAATCTGAAGGGCAAACAAAACCATGCTCATACACGTTGCAATCATTCCTCTGAAACATTTTTTCTTGAATGTTGAAGGTCAACGTCTGCCCTCGCTGTACTTCTGTCATTTCCAGTCTCATGCTGATGCGCGTTGTTTGTGTTTCCAGGCGTCCTGTTACCTGAAGCAGGGCAAGTTCAAGCAGGCCGAGACCCTGTACAAAGAAATCCTCACCCGCGCTCACGAGAGGGAGTTCGGCTCCGTTGACGGTAAAATCAACATCACGTTTCAACATTTTTTTTTGGACTTTGCAGCAACCTGAATCCAGCGTGACCTAAAATAAACAAACACACTCACATGGCTGCTCTTCTCTGATGCAAAAGGTTAATATGTTCAGGCCGCACCGCTGTAAACAAACAAAAAAATAACCTTTAAGCTGAGAACTGTGCTTCAGAGCCAGGCTGACTTTTGAAAGTTCAATCCTGCCGTTTGTCAGCATCAGCACCGATCCCTCCTGTTTCTCTGCAGATGAGAACAAGCCGATTTGGATGCACGCTGAGGAGAGAGAGGAACAAAGCAAGGTGAGCATTTCCAAGCGCTTCCTCTTTAAAACAGCTGTCATTTTTAGTCATATTTTGTTGATTGGAGGCTTTAATGTCGTCCACAGAGGCTAAAACCGGACACATATTCAGCTCGGACAGCTTTATCGTCTTATTTAACAGGAAATAGGAAGGATTGGCTTTACAAAGAGTTGGATTAAGTTCCAGTAATAACCATCCTCTGCTGATGATGGTGTGAGGACTCAACTTTCCCAACCAGGACTTCGTTTTGTCACGGTTTAATAGGTTTAGTTGGAATCCTGACCCGACTGTAATCCCGCCACTAAATACCCCTTCATGTGCTCTTTGATGGTGTTAAAACAGCTTCAAGTTTTATTTAAAAAAAAGGGGGTTAATTTCAGCCCCTGAATGGCGACTGATTAGCTTCCCATCGTCGTGTTTTTGTGAACTGATGTGTGTTTTTGTTCAGGGGAAGCAGAAGGACGGTTCACCCTTCGGAGAATACGGAGGCTGGTACAAAGCCTGCAAAGTGGACAGGTCAGTTTGTTTCCTCCGAGCGGAGATGCTTTGACGTTCTCAGCAGCAGTAATGTGTTCGCGTGTTTCCTCCTAATAAGATTCAAGCAACGAGTGAGGTTACTCCATAAATCATCACATTTTTTTCAAGGATTCAAGGAACTTTCATTGTCATGCCAGCTCACGTTTACATGTTTGTGGGACGACATTGGTACTCAGGTTTTTGTTTTGTTTTTTAAAGCCTAATAAATAATAAGTACAATTGTATGACAAGAGCAACATATAAGTAAAAATACAAGCAAATAAGTGTACGATAGTAAAATGTAAACATTAAGTAGAAAAGCCAGAATTAGCTATGTAACACTAAATACTTGTGTAGACAGCGCGGTAAACGGTGTGTTACACTTAGTGAGAATATTGCACATTGGTTGAAATATTGCACACATGTAGATAAAGTGTTGTTAAACTGCTCTGTCTCTGATTTGCGTGAATTAGATAGAAAAATACAGTAATAATGTTGGTAATCCCAGCTGACCTAAAAGTCTGATTTGATATCAGACAATGAGGGAATAAAAAGGTTGTATGTTTTCTTTATACAGTGGATGTAAACGTCTGGTTTCAACTGTACATACATGTGCGTCATTCAGCTTCGCAATTTACCCGTTTGACTTTCTCACATGCGCTCATCTCACAGTCTAGTAAAAGTCCATCTATATAGATTAGAACAGTGGATTTTCTTTATTCCTTTATGAGTGATAAGTTGGGTTACACAAAGTCTGCTGCTCACACTGTGGTTGTAAATTCAATCTATTTGTTCCAAACTTGGTAGAATTTGACTTTTTGGATGCTGTGAGAGAAGGTCGGCTTTTCCATTTTGAATGTGCACTGCACCAGTCTTCCAGTGTGGGTGGACTGGACAGCCAATTTCTAGTGATTGATTTGTTTTTTGTTTTTTTCTTTCACTTGCTGCTGCTACAAGACAGCCTGCAGCGGCTTTAGATCCCTCTTCTGTTTCAAGATCTGGCCCAGATAAACACTCTGTTTTTTTTAGTCAGTTTTTGTTTGTTTTCAGATTTCTTCTGTGCTGTCGTGTAAATCTGAAAATATACTTTGCATTTGAGCCACCTTTGTCGCTCTGGTCTGAGATTAAACCCTAATAAAGGCTCAACTCTTGTGAATTATCAGATTAATCTCTTAGGAAACTGGACACAGAACAAGACCCAGAGTTCATGGAGACATCTCTGTTATTTTTCAAATGCACATGCTAAGTTTTGCATTGAGAACGTGCGTATTTCTTTCCTTAAGCACTGATTCCGTGAGATGAGACCTTTCTTCTTCCTGTGTTCGCAGCCCCACGGTCACCACCACACTGAAGAACCTGGGCGCCCTCTACAGGCGGCAGGGCAAGTTCGAGGCAGCCGAGACCCTGGAGGAAGCCGCGATGCGTTCCAGAAAGCAGGTGTGGTCGCTGGGTGACGTGACTGATAGCTTCCGGCCGGAGCCGAGACGTCACTGCTGGCGTAGGAAAAGCAGCAGATGACGAGTTATCCAAAAGTCAGATGAATCGGTTTGAAATGGCAGATTAAAAGGCAGAGAAAGTGGTGTAAGACTGGGAGGAGGGATGCTGCGGAGCCTGGAGAGCAGCGTTTTAACTGCCTCTGATGGTGTGTTACTGACGAGGCTTGATTTGGTCTCCCGTGGAGACGATAAGTGGGGGGCGGTGGTGAAGCCCTGCAGCTTTTTATCCTGAATTAGGATTTCCTTCCAGGATTTAAGTTTCTCGGTGGTGCACACAGGATGCTGCAGGAAGAGCTGAAAATGGATGACAGTGACACAACTCCACCTGTCGCTCTCTGAAGTCCTTGTGATGCTGGTTTGACCTTTAAGAGATGTCATAAATGTTTGGATGGTGCGAGCAGTGACTCCGGTTCTTGTCCTGCTGCTCTTTGTTTTTCCCCCACTTGAATAATTTGTACCTCATGCAGGCTCGTAGGGAACAAGGTGGTGGAACCGTGTTGTCTGTATGCGTTGACCTCGGCTGCTTGTTCCTGAAGAAGCAGAATTTTTAAAATGTCCTGATTAGGCTTAGAATTGCGAAGTTATTTTTTTATCGGATTAATTTAATATTTAGTATTGTGGAACAGCTGTAGTACCTGGTTGCGCCTCCAGGTGGAGCTTCTTGCTGTGTACTGCTGTGGAGACCAGAGGAGGCAGCCAATTCTGTGGTCACCAGCAGAGGACATTGTTGGGATTTAGCTAGCAGCTGGCCACCATGACGAGGCCTTCTGTGAGGCTTAATGAACCTCCGCATGTTTCAGCGAGCTGCAGTCGACTAGGACACACGTAACAGCTGCTTCTTTTGGCTCATATCATGTGTCTGTGACTTAAAACAGTAAAATCAAGACAGGAATGTCATCCAGTGAGCTCTATTTGTATATTTATTAAGAGAACTTTTTAAATTTAGGGTCACGCTGATTGAAATTGCCCTGATTAGGCAATCCTCAGATCAGGATGTCCTGTGTCAACATGCGTTCTTAATGCTTTACGTACAGGTTGTTCTTTTTTAGCTGCACACGAAGAGTTCATTTGCAAAAACAGATAACTCCATCTTCACATCTTGGAAACCACTTTTCCATCGTCTACGTGAGACAATAACAATCAAACTCAAGTTATCTCTATTTTTGTCATTTCTACTGAGTCAAATCCACTCAACTTCAGTTTGAGTGATTTCATCTCAAGCTAATAACAACAAAATAAGTTTGATGAAAATCTACAACAATGGAGTTTTCTGTTTTTGAAAATGAACTCTTCACACATACAGCTAAGCTAACTTGGTCACAGACATTTTGGGAATTATTGTGTCTTGCATTGAGTTTGATGATAATATTGATATCAAGTTCTAAGATATCGAACAATTCCTTTAATTCTCCTTTTAGGAAATAGTGCAGTTTGTGGTGATTAAGGGCACCAATCACTAGCTTTAACATCGTTTGTTTGGGGAATCTGTTGCAGCTCTGTTCTGTCGTCTCTCAGGAGAGTTTTTCTTCTGTCTGAATCAGCTCTGACTGCTGGCGTCTAACGTGGAGCCCAGGCGTCTGCCAGGGTCTGTGTTCAGAGCAGCAGGTGGTACAAGTCTGCGGCTTTAACATTAATTGGATTGGACGAATCGGTGCTCGCGGCTGTCACCTGTTGCAGCGCCGAGCTGCAGGTGGCAGCGGCACTCAGCTGCCGCTTTAATTGGATCAGCCGAACTGGCGTTTATTGTTTCCCCTCTGTGTGTGCGTGTCAGGGTCTGGACAATGTGCACAAGCAGCGCGTGGCGGAGGTCCTGAGCGAACCGGAGGCCCGCGAGAAGCAGCGGAGCCGCGAGAGCTTGACCTCCGACACGGTGAAGTACGAGAGCGGGCCGGACGGTGGCGAGGAAGTGAGTATGAGCGTGGAGTGGAACGGGGTAAGTACAGTACACAGCCCTCAACACGCCACCGAGAGTCTGTAAAGCAGGGACATGTTCACGCCATCTGTCTGGACTGAAGCCACTGGACACGAGATTTATAAGCACAGAAACAAAAAGTGATGGAATAAACTTTATTGATCCTTCACAGCAGCTGGATAGAAATGAAAGAAGCAAGAAAACAAAATACAATAAGGCTAAAAATATAAATATAATGAAGACTAAGCAACCAAAAGGTTTATTTATCACATTTTTATGTGCATTTTACCCTCTCAACTCCAAGCAGCTTTTTGTTTTTTTTTTCTCCCGTTACATTTTTCCTTTTCTCCGCAAATAAAGTCCTGCACCTGCGTGGAAACAGCACAACCATGACTAGAAGTAGGTGCAATATGACCTAATTATAATGCCATAAATCATAAAAAAAAATAAAGTTTTATTATTTAATTTACAAAAAAAGTCACCGTGTGCAGCATTTTTCCAAGTGTTACCACCACTGGAAGATACGATAGTGGCTCTACATATTGTCGATATTTTACTACTTACATTTTTTATTCGTTTCTATGCTATCTGCTCGCTGTAAGCACCGCCTGCAGTTCAGCAGAGAAGCCCCTGAATTTTTGTCATGTTGCTGTTGATCACAGCTGAATCTAAGGGCTTCACAAATTGGAGGATTTTTTACAGAATCTTGTTCGGGCAAACTGGAAAAAGTAATTTTTAAAAAAGAAATGTCACAATTTTCTCTTTTTTTTGGATGGAAAAGCTGAGTATTATAGGGATTGTTAAAAAGCTGAAAATCTGACAGTTTTTTTGTGTGTTTTTACAGTTTCTGCCTCTGATAAATGGAGTAACCTTGGCGATAGCGTGCCTGGTGGATTTAGGTTTCAGAGAGACAATAAAGATTTCTGCGTCAATTCGAGTATAATCGTCACGGTTACGACCCAGCCGCCGTCTGCTGGGTTGTAAAACTGTGAGCCTTGAAATATCGTTTCTCGGGCTTCGGTCGGTGGCTTCGGTCCAGAAAGATACGGTGAGGTTGAGTCTTCATCTGTGACTAAATTAAATATTCTGATCAGGAGTGTTGTTCTGAGCTGCACTGATAATGCTGATTGACTGTCACAGCTGTTCCACTCTGCTGTCGGTAGCTTCTACTTCACCACTAGACTCGCTTTGATTGTTCAAATCAAGTGAAAAGATGCTCCGCTGTAGCGTTTCACGCTCACATAGAGCTGTTTTCCATTAAACCCTCTCTCTGTAGAGCTTTTACTGACTAACTCTGTACAACACCCACCTAACTCCCTCTGCTGCAGAGCCACATTCCTAACCGAGCGTCTGCAGTGTTTTCTCAGCCTCCAGTGACTGCAGTGGCACAACATGTAGACGTAGAGTCGCTGTAGGCTGCTCGCTGCTAAAAGGCTGCTGCTGCTGCTGCTGCTGCTGCTGCTCAGAGCTGGTCTCTTCACATAGCAACAGTAATCATAGCGCCCTGAACAACCAATCAGCATCTCCTCCCGCACCTCTGGATGCGGCTCTGCGAGGTTTGACGTATCGACGAGAGCCAGTTAGTAGCTTCCTGCAGACAATCACCAGCTGATGTCTCTAAAAACATCAATCGTCAGCTGATCAGTTTGCCTGGACAGAGCTGAAGTGGATTCTGACCACAGAGTTTTGGCTAAAGACGACAGGGATGCAGAAGTTGCAGGGAGGTTTTACATCCCAGTGGAGGTAGATAAGAGAGTCGAACAAAAGGTTAGACACAGTAGATTCATACATTTACTGTATCGTAAAGCACAAAATGAAATGTGGCTTCCAGAAGTAGGTTAAAGCTGCTGCATGTTTGCTACTTTCAAGTTGAGATCAGTGGGATTTTAATTAATATTTTTGATCTACAGAGCTTAACAGATGCATTAAAACACCACCCAGTGGCAGGTTTATGCCACAGCTGCCCTACATTAACACTATTGGTAATCATTTCTTATCCCAAATGATGTTTTTAATGCTAAAATATAATAATTATTGTTATCCATGAATTTTGTAATTTAGTTTTACAAAAAAACTTAAAAAAAATAGTAAAGCACATTATTTTTTTTTTATTAAGATGTTAAATTATAGTTGTTAACTTGCATTCCTGGACAGAAAAATGTAGTTTTCGTGATTGAATGTTGATTAATTTCTGACTTCTCAGAGAAGCCCAGTGAGCCGGCTCAGAGGCTCAGATTGAAATTCCTCATTCCTGTTAAGCACTGTATGTATATTTTTATATTAACCCTCTGAACCTGAAGCACATTCTGGCCTTTTACGTGCTCCCGTCACATTTTTTTCTCACTTTGGGTTCATTTTTTGCTGCCACATAAAATCCTGCAGCTCTATAGAACCAGAACAATCATGACGAAGGAGACAGAACTCAGAAACACCTTCTGACACAGTTAGAAGGCTGGAAATCATAAAAACTAAATAATTTCTTTGATTATTTACTTTATGAGAGTGGGGGGAGGAAAATCCTGGAATAAAATTTTTCCAAGTGCTCACAGGTGTTGCCAACAAAAAACATGCTGTGGCTCTACATGTTACAGGTAATTCACATTTGTTTACAGCCTCTAAAAACTTCCCGCTGCTCCGCTCATCATCTGTAGAAAGATGTTCCACCATCAGCTGGATGTATCTCCAACAACCGGCTCCTCTGTTCACTGTTCCTGAGCCATGCTGCACTGATTTCGTTTTCTCTCTCTGCTCTGTGTAAACACAGCCTGCAGCTCATCTAAAAA